AAACGAGTTAAATAGTTCCGCTTTCTCCCTGTTGCTTGTCACCTTCTTGCCACTTTCACCCACTAATGGACCAATCATTTCCTTCACTTTTTTCTTGTTTTTTACATGTTGAAAGAAGCTTTTTTTGTTATTTTTGACTTTGGTTGCAAGCCTTAGTTCATTTTGAGCCTTGGCTTTCCTCACTTCATCTTTGCAGGCTCTTCTGCTGCAGCTCACAACTTCTGAGTCCACAAACTAAACGATCCCGCAGCCTCTCTTCCAGGTCCTTGAATTCTCATGGCCTAGCTGCTTGTCGGAGTGCAGCAATAAAGTCCGCAGCAGACTCACCAGGGCCTCTGGTCCCTCTGCTCAAATGCGTGTCGCCATGAAATCACTGAGAGCTTGGGTTCGAAGTGTTCTCGCAGCATCTTCTTCAATTCAGCATAAGCAATTGATTCCAGTGGTGCTGGGGCGACCAGATTCTCAGCTATATCGAAAGTCTCTTGCCCACAGACACACAGTAAAGTAGCAGCTTTGAAACTATACTAAACCCTCACTTGGTTTACTCGGAAGTAATTCTCCACTCGAGCCACGTAGGAACTCCAGCGTTCTGGATGTGATGTATCAAATTCCGAGATACGGCTGATTTTGGACATTGTTGCTGCCCTGGAGCTTCATCAACGCCTCTAGCTGCAAGGTTTGAGAAGGGGTCCCTCTTGCCGAGCTCACCTCCAGCGTTCTCATACTGGCAGGCAGAGTCGCAATCTCCAGACGCCGAACTTCCCAGCACTTCAGGCCTCTCTTTGTGAGTCAGCCCAGCTTTTTCTTTGTTGTTTTCCTTGCAGCGATCCCACCTTCGTCGCCAATGTTCTGTTTCCAAAGATGAGGCATGGAGACGAAGCGGAGTAACAAAAAACAGTCTTCCTTTATTGCAATTCACCAACAGAACAGAGAACAAAAATGGCGCAGGCCCTTTTATAGTCCCCTGGCAGGGACAGCGTCAGCCAATCATTCCACGGCATTCTCCCACCTTGCGCATGCACGCAAGGCTGGAGACAGCCTGTCTGGTCTCAGGCAACCACGTGGTCTGCCCGGGCCTTTCTGCAGCTTTCCTGAGCCTGCTGAGTCATTCAGCAGGCCCAGGACACAACACAATCCACTTTAAAAAGTATCTTAAAACCAGCCTTTGCGCTTAGAACCATCACAGCATCCCCTCAGTCATGTGTTCAAAATTTGCACCCTTGGCAACCAGCATGTATTTACAACAACTGCAGCATTCTGGGGTCATGGATCGCCATTTGCAACCTTACCAACCAGCTTCTGACAAGCAGAGTCAATGGGGGAAACTGGATTCTCTTACCAGCCACACATGGTTTACTTAACAACTGCAGCGATTCACTTCACAATTGTGGCAAGAGAGGCTGTAAAATTGGACACAACTCACTTAACAACCCCCTTGCTTAGCAATGGAAATTTATGGTCCCAATTGTGGTTGTAAGTCAAGGACACCTGTCAATCACAACCACACAGCAAACAAGGGCAGAGAACAGGGATTTGATTTGATGGACATGCACTAAACTGGTGACAGACAAGAGAGAACCTTCGTTCTTTCTCTAGCTTGACCATGAAGTCCCTCCCTGCATTGCCAGTGTTGTTCAGCCTGATCCTAATCTGCAAGCCAAGAGGATCCATGGCGGGAAGGTCAAAAAAGTCAAGATGGAAGCTGTAATCTTGTGAGGACACCACCTCTTTTTTTGAACCTATGTTGGGTGAGGCTTTCATCACAAGATTTAGGAAGGCCTCTGAGACAGGAAGGGACCAATAGGATCTATTCATTTCTTTCTTTTTTGCTTTGGGAGAATTTAGACAAGAGACTGTACGAAAGGAGGAGCTATTTGGTTGGCTGATCTTAAAGAAACTGATAGATATGTCAAGCTGTGTTAACCTGTAAGGTGTGTACATATTTGTGTTCCTGCCTGAGGAACTCTGCACCCAGTTCAGACTTCATGGATTAGTGGAAGAGAAAATGGAGTGGCTAGAAGTAGACCGACCATCAGTTAGGTCTAGTGGTTAAGGCATCAGGCTATAAACCAGGAGATGGTGAGTTCTAGTTCTGTCTTAGGCACAAAACCAGCTGGGTGACCTTGGGCCAGTCACTCACTTTCAGACCTAAGAAGAAGGGGAGGAGTGAGGAGGGGGAGGATGAGTTCCAGTGATTTGTCAGGGAAGACAAGGTGTTTCTGGATATGGTGGAAGGACAAAGATGATAATGGTTGTAGAAATTGAGTATGTCTAGTTTAATGAAAAGAAGGACTGGGGTGACATGATAACTGTTGTGTCCCGGGGCTTGCAGCAGGCAAGCCCGGGCCGTTGTCATGGCAACGGGCTGCCAAAAGCTGCCTGGGGCCAGACAAACAGGCACCAGCCTGCGCGCATGCGCAAGGCAAAGCGTGCGCCAAGAAGTAACAACTTGACCCGGACAGTTTCAGTTCAGTTGCTGAGCGAGTTGAGAGGCCTGCGTGCCTCTGTTAGTGATTTAAGAAGCTGCAGGATTAAATAAACAAGTTCCTGTTTCACAGCATGTCTGCCTCGTTTGTCATTAAATCCAAGGATTTAACACTGGCGACGAGGATGGGATCTTCTTACAAGTTTCAGACAGTGTAAGACGGACCTGAGGAATCCTTGGAGAGGGGAGACGGTGTCAAACAGCACTTGGCCTGCCAGTACAGCGTCGCTGGAGGTAAGCTGGCTGAAAGACCCCTTCCTGAAGAGTGTGCATGATGGCAAAAATAGGGAGGCTGTCTGAGTCCGATGTAAGCCGTCCAGAAAGGTGGGAGACTTATGTGGCAAGAGCAGAAACCTATTTCAGAGTTAATCAAATACGGGAAGATGGTTTAAAAGCTGCAACATTGCTTTGTGTATGTGGCCAAGATGTCTTTGAGATTGCAGAGAACTTAGCAGCTCCTGCTTCCTTAGAGTCTGTAACTTACACAGACTTGAAGAATTTATTTAAGGAGCATTTTCAACCAGAGATGTCCATAATCGCTTGGAGACACAATTTTGAGCAGAGGGATCAGAAAGCTGGGGAATCAGCTAAAGAATATATTGCAGCATTAAGAAGAGCAGCCAAACCGTGTGAGTTTAAGGACTTAGAGGAAAGACTCAGGGACCGTTTTGTGTGTGGACTGAGGAACAGAGGCCTACAACAAAAACTGTTTGCCAGAAAAGATTTGTCTTTCCAAGATGCTGTAAGAGAGGTAATGGCTGAAGAGGCGGCTGGTGGAGCAGTTAGGCACATGCGGCCCAACAAACTGGGTATAGAAGAAGCCTCTGTGCATCTAGAAGAAGCACAGGAAGCCTCTGAGGAAGGATCTGAAGAAGAAGTGGATCACCTCGTCCCATCTAAAGAAGGAAAAAAGTTTGAAAGAAAGAACCAAAAGTCAACAGGGCTCAAGTGTTTCGGGTGCGGTGGTCGCCACAAGAGGGCCGACTGCAGGTTTCGTGCAGCTGTCTGCAGAGCGTGTGGAAGGAAAGGACACATAGCAGCCGTTTGCCTAGGACGAAGGAAGGTACAGTATCAAGAAGAATTGCACCAGAAAGACACCAAGGTCCCCAGTCAGAACAGAGTAGGCTTCTGCGCATCGCGCAGAAGTGTTTATAGGACAGGCACACACAAACCACTTAAAAAGAAGTTGTCACTTAAGGTGAAACTGCAGGGAGTGCCATTAGTCATGGAGCTGGACACAGGGTCCGCTCTTTCAATTATTTCCATACATACATTTAGGAAGATCTGCAATAGCACTGGGGTTCAGGCAAAATTAAGGCCTTCAAACATAGTTTTAACTGATTTCCAAAACTCTAGAGTGTGCATAAAGGGGGAGGCCACCCTTTCTGTACAATACAAGAGTTTTGTGGGCCCTTTGGATGTCCTGGTTGTTGGGGGTGACAGAACGAGTCTTATAGGACTCGATTGGTTTGAGGCCTTGGGAGTTCAAGTCACTGGCTTGCACAGTCTGCAAACATTAAGCCTAGCAGGAGTCTGCGAGGAGTTTGCAGATGTGTTTAGTTCTCAGCTTGGATCTTACCAAGGGCCTCCTGTTTCGTTGAAACTTGACCCCAACATCACACCCATTAGAGTTAAGGCTAGGAGAGTGCCTTTCGCTTTGAAAGAAAAAATTGATACTGAATTGGATAAGTTAATCCAACAAGGCATTTTAGAGCCTGTAGACTCGAGTCCATGGGAAACCCCCATTGTTACGCCTCTTAAGGCTAATGGGGACATACGTATTTGTGCTGATTACA